GCGCGCCCCGGGGCGGCGCGCTCCGCTGGCTTCTCCGCACAGCCCCTCCACCATCACGGCCGGCCCTGGGGAGCGTTCAGGGCGCCAGGCTGTTGAAATGGAAGGATCCTGTCAGGAGGCAGAGAATCAGAGCTCCGGCCTCTGCCCCGCCCCTCCAGCTTTACTTCTTGTGCCGGGTTTGGGCCAGAACTAGACATAATAGTCTGCAAGCTATGATAGCATCCCCTTCCCCACACAGGCGGCTTCGAAAGCCTCCCCCTTCGCACAGCCCCAGGGTAAGCTGGAACCCAAGCAGAGCCAGTGTTTTGCTGGCGCGGGTCACTTACTTCATAACTAGCAGGCTCTGCAGCGTCTGACCAGTTCGTTGGACCCAGATTTGTGAGACCAGAAAGCCCAGGGGGCAGTGGCCACGCTCGGAGGCTGGCCTGACGTTGGTGCCCTGTGCACTATCTGAGACCACCTCACTCTGAGGGGGTTCGTGTGACGTGGCCGCCTTTGCAGGTCAGGCATGGGCCGTGTTGCTGCCTCACCTGGGGCATCCCATGGATCCGGGGACCGGTGTCACCCACAGCTGGGTGGCATCAGTGTCCTCAGAGGCCCGGTGCTGAGGAGTATTCAGAGGTCTGAGGGACTGTGCCTGATCTCATCCCTTGCGACCTGGACCTCCACTGTGGTTTGGAGAAATGGAGGTCGGCCTTCTGCAGTGGCATGACTTTGCATGTAGAGGACCCTAAGGAATTCCCCCAGAAGAACTCTTAAATGGGGGCTGGCAAGTGGCTTCAGTTGGTTAAGAGCTCACTCAAGAGTGTGAGCTCTGAGCAACAGTGGTTCGATTCCCAGCCAGAGCTGAGCTGCCAACAGGTGGCAGGATGGCTCAGCTAAAAAAAAAAGAAAAAAGAACTCTTGAATGAGTTCAGCAAGGGTTCAGGACACAAGATCAATATGCAAAAGTCAGTTGTATTTTTATATACTAGCAACACCAATCCAAAATTAAATTTTTAAAAATTCCACTCATAAAGGCATAAAAAAATAAAATATTTAGGAAAAAGTTTAACAAAAGATGTGCAAGACTTGAATTCTGAAAACTGTAAAACACGACTGAGAGAAACTAAAGGTGAGCCAGATAAACAGAATCCCACGTTCCCTGGTGGGAGGTCAGTGAGCGTTCTTAGCCGGCAGCTCTCCCCAAATCAGTGTGAGGGTGGGAGGCCGCTTCCCTGCGGGCCTGGGCAAGCTGATTCTAACATTTCTGCAGAAATGCAAGCACCGTCCCCCTCTGGGTCCTTTTTGTATTCTTAGTGGTGTAATTGTGTGGTCTAAAGCTTTACATTCTAAAATGGTCTAATTTGTTGATCTTTTCCTAAAGGGTTGGTGCTTATTGTGTCTTGTTTAAGAAATTCTTTTATTCTGGAGCTGTGAAGCTTTATCTTTCTAAAACTTTATAGTTTTGTCTTTCATGTGTAGGTCTTTGCCCCACCTGGACTGTGTGTGTGTGCGTGTGTGTGTGTGCACGTGTGCATGTGTGCATGCATGTGCACATTGTGGATACACAATTGTGCCAGCAGCCCTTGCTAAAAAGACCACCTTCCCTCCCAATCCACAGTGCCACCTCTGTCACATATTAAGCATTCTTACATGAGTGGGCTCTCTAATTTGTTCCGTCATCGGTCCCTCTTCAAGGCCGTTTTATGTTAATTACTCTCGCTTTGTAACAAGCCTGATTTCTGGAGGATCGTCCTCTCTGTTCTCCTTCAAGAGGGACTTGACCCTTCTGGGCCTGTGAGACTTCCATGGAAACCTCAGAACTCCTTTTCCTGCTTAGGAAACTGGTAGAGGATACGTTTTAACAGAGGGTACCATCGCGATCTTCATACGAATACACAATGAACACATGTCAAAAATTTACTTAACTCATTAGTTAATGAGGGAACAAGTAAAACACTGCAGCCAATTCAAGTGAAGGTTTGGTCACCAGAGGTCTGTGCTGCCTGCCGGGCAAGGATCATTTGCCATGCCCCGGGAGGACCGTCTGTACATCTGTGGACAGGCTCGTCTGCAGCGCTAACGATTTCCTCCAAGTCAACTCCTCTCTCCACAGAGTCTAGGATCAAAAACGCAGGCACACAGCTCCGTGGGGCCGGACAGCCTCAAGGCTCCAGCATTCCTAGAAAAGGAGCCAGAAATTGTCTGCTGCTTTTCTGGCTTATTTCAAAGTTTTCTACAGTTTTCCCATATACAATCCACAGTCAACTTGGGGAACCTCCTCTATTTACCATTTCAATGCTCTCCCTCCCACCTTCCCCCCACAGCCACCCTGGAGAAACCTGGTCCCCAGGGGTGTTTCTGGCCAAATTTTGACTCACAGTGACTGGGACGAGCAGGTGTGTTCTGCTTCCCGCCTGGCTCTGACGTCCTCTGTGAGCTCAGACCGGCCCCATCCCCCACCTTATCTCGCTGGGGATGGCGCTGAGGACAGGGCTGTGATGGGTGGGAGGGGGTGTCACCCTGGGCCCCCGAGCAGCTCCGGACACAGCCATGCTCCGTTATTAGAGAATCTGAGAGGATGTTTCCCAGGCACACAGCTGCTGCACGCGTAAGTGCATTTACTAAAATCCAAGCTCAGACTGTTATTAAATTCTATAAAACCACGAAAGTGCAGGCAAAACCAATTTCCGCTTTCATACATAACAGTCTGTGATATATATTATCCCCTCCTCGCCTAGTTGCCTAGATAGCTAGTTAAAGTGGAATACAAGCAAACAGCAGTAATTAAGCCCCATAAAAAGGTTGCTGTAAGTGAGGGCCAATCGCGACGTGCTGCTGGCAGGTGGGACGCGGCCCCGCCCTGCTTCTCAGCAGCTTTCGTTTTCACAGACTGGCTTCAGCGAGTGGCTGGCTGTGTGTGCCAGGGCCTCACTCTGACCGAGCCTTGCAAAGTCTGGGCATGAGTTTGTCTCAGAAAGGACGTTAACAAGTGTAGATGCTGCTTTGTCAAACCGCTCCCCATCCCAACCCCATCCCCCTTCCCCCTCTTCCCCTCCCGCCCCCGCTCCTGGCCGGTGGCCCCTGGGAAGTTCTTCCGTTTTTGCCAAAAGTCACTGAAGGTGAATTCCAGCCGCCCGCAGCCAGCTGCTGCCAGACCGTTTGCTTGCGTATCTGCTGGAGCAGGTGTGTATGCACCTGTACCATGCACGGTGAGGGAGCGTCCCAGAGGTGAGGCCCCACCCCCAAGGAGCAGCCTGCCCACTCCAGGTGGGGGCTGCCACAGCTCTGAGTGGCCACACTGGGGTTGGTGCTGGCGCCATGTTTCAGGGGCTCTCAGCACTGTGGGCATGGTTAGGTCAGTCAACATGCTTCCCAGTCAAATGCAGGTTCCCAGGCCCCGCCCAGTGGTCCTGGTGCTGTGCCCTGCGCTCAGCGAGCTCTGCTGAGGGCCGAGTCGGGTGTGGAGGGCACCTTCCCCCCTCCGTCCGCTGACCTCCCGGGCCAGTACCCTCCCACATACCCCTCCCTAGGGACCCCAACCCAAGGGCTCCCCGCTCTCTGTTTCCCACACCTTCTGTAACTGAGCGTGAGGGGGTGGGGGTGGGGTGAGGGACGGGGCAGCCCCTGTGGACGCTTCGGGCTCCAGGCAGGACACGGGTCTCATTCTTGGGCCCAGGAGGCCCTGGAGGGGTTCATACCCAGGAGCAATGAGGTCAGGTCCGCATTTCAAAGACACAGGTGTGGGCACAGGTGTGGGCACACGGAGGCCACTGAGAAGCATTGCCATGCTCCAGGCAGGGGAGGCAGCCGGAGGGTGACCAACTCGTCCTATTTACGCCCCACTTGCAGCTTGGAAAACCCCTGTACTGGGCTCCTGAGAGGGCTGGTCCCAGGAGGATGTGGGCAGTGACATAGACACGCCCCCAGAGCTCTCTGCAGTGGTGCCACCAGGACCCCATGGCCCCCTGGGAGGGAAAGGGGCAGCTGAGCCCCAGGGGGACCAGGGCAGCAGCTCAGAGCCTTGAGCTGTGAGGTTTACCCACCGACGGTTGCAGGCAGGGAGCCCCAGCAGGGCACAGCCCCAAGTGCAGGCTTGGCTTCCGCCGCTGGCTGCCTGTGGGCACCGTCCCACTGCCTATATTTCCACTGTGCCTGAGTTGGAAACATCCCCCTCCAAAGGAGGGGGGGCTCCCCACAGCCCAACAAAGCCTTTGTCTGTCTCTCCTGGGCTTCTGTGCCATGCTTATGCACACTCCCCTCATAGAAGGGCCTTCTGGGTCTAAAGGACAGTCACGGCCACATAAGGACATTTCAGCCAATGACCACCTGCACAGAGGCAGTGGTCCCATCAGCTTACAGTGGAGCTGGAAAATCCCTACCCCACAGTGATGCCGTAGCCATAGCAACATGGCAGTGGAACACATTGTTCACGTGTGTGCGTGGCTATGTTCAGTACATGACATGGGATGATGATGACAAATGACCATGTCACTGGTTTATGTATTTACTATGCTTTTTATCATTATTTTAGAGTGTACATTTTCTACTCCAAAAACAAACAAAATGTTTGCTATAAGACAGTGTGCTGTGTCACCCAGCAGCAGCCTCAGGCATCTCATATTCACAGCATCTCTTGAGTGCATCATTTTCTCTTGTGCTGGACGTAATGGTTCATGTGGTGGTGTTTGGTTCATCACGGCCCCAAAGCGCACAAAATCCATGCTAATGTTGCCAGTGAAAAGCCACGTCAGGTGATCACCTGCCACAAAATTAAAGTGATTAAGGACTGTGAAGGTGGGACAGCAGTGACGGTTGTTGCTCGCCAGCCAGGCATGTCCCATGCCACCACAGCTATCATTCTGAACAAGAGCAAAGTGACAGAAGCTGTTAAAGGATCTGCTTCATCGAAGGTAACAAGGCTAACAAGAACTTGAGAAGGGCCGAGATGAGACATGGAGAAACTTCTAATGGCCTGGATTGAAGACCAGGCACAGAAGCATGTCCCTCTTAGCATCATGATGATCACAGCCAAAGCAAAAAGTTGGTGATGTTGAAATACAGTCTGGACCTGACCGATGCTGAATTTACTGCTCGCTCTGGGGGTTTAAACAAATCAGGAATCTTAGTTCATTCCATAAGGTGGAAGTGGGTGGTGAGCCTGCGAGTGCTGATGTGAAGGCAGCTGAAGAATTTTGGGAAACTCTAGATAAGCTGATAGTGGAGGAAAATTACTTGCCAGAGCAAATATTCAATCTGGATGAAAACTCTCTGTTTTGGAAACGGACCCTGAAAGGACTTTCATCCATAAGAAGGCCAAGTCAGTGCCAGGTTTCAGGGCTTTTACGGACAGGATGACCATAACACTGCTTGGGGCAGTGTTACCGGCTACAAACTGATACCCTCTGTGATCTGGCCCATGAGAACCCCGGGGCCTTCAGGCATGTCAGTAAGCACCCACTGCCAGCCAGAAGGCGTGGATGGCACAGCGCCACTTCCGAGAAGCCCTCCTGAATTGCTACACTAGCGAAATGGATAGTAACATACCTTTCAAGATTTTGCTTATTGTTGGTAATGTCCCCTATCACCCTCCTTTTATTGGTGACCTTCCTACCAATGTCACAGTTATGTTTCTCCCTCCAAACGCCACGTCTGATCAGCCAGTGGGTCAGGGAGTTACAGCAGCTTTTAAGGCCGACTGTGTTCCCAGGCTGTTGCTGCAGCTGAGGAAGACGCCGAGAGGACACGGATGCAGTTCTGGAAGGATCACAGCATCTCTGACTGCATCAAGAGCCTTGCTTGGGCTTGGGGCGATGTCACCAAGGACTGTAGGAATGCCATCTGGAAGAAGACACTCAGGAGGCTCATCCATGATTTCAAAGGGTTTGCCAGGGATGAGGAGGCTGCAAAACTCACCAGGGCCGTGGCAGAGATGGCAAACGACTTGACTGGTGTGGGTGAGGAGGCATTGGGGAGCTCCTGGAGGGGGTCCTGAGGAGACGAGGGGTTGGTGGGATGGGAACAGGAATGCACAGCTGAAGGAGACAAGAGAAGAGGAACCTGCAGGAAAAGAGAAAGAAGACGAACCCCCAAGAACACTCACACTGAGGGGTTAGCAGATGCTTTCAGACCTCAACAAGCTCCTTAAGAAGTCTGAAACCGTGGCCCCAACACCGAAAGGTTTTCATTAATAGAGAGGAGTGTTCATGGTGTGTTATCCGCTTACAAGCAAATCTAAGATTCAAGAAAACAAAAACAAAACAACAACAACCCGAGGCAGCCAGTTCGCTCAGGTGGTTAGAGCTCAGTGCTTACAGCAACAAAGTTGCCGGTTCGATCCCCACATGGGCCACTGAGCTGTGCCGTCCACAACTAGATTGAAACAACTATTTGACTTGGAACTGATGGGTCCTGGAAAAACACACTGTTCCCCAATTAAAAAATAAAGACAAGCAAACCACCACGGACATATTTCTGAGTAGAGTGACGTCCCCTGAAGAAGCGTCTCGGGCAGGCCCTTTAGGGAGTCTTCCAATGAAGGTGGTGCCATCACAGGAGATGACAGATGCCATGCGTGTCACTGCCCCTGAAGACCTTCCAGTGGGACAGGATGTGGAGGTGGAGACAGGGATACTATGACCCTGACCCTGTGGAGGGCGAGGCTACTGTCTGTGTCTGTGTCTCAGGATTTAACAAAAAAGTTAATTAAAAAAAAAAATTTTAGGAGATAAAAAGCTTATAGAATAAGGATCTAAAGAAATAAATTATTTTTGTACAGTTGTACAACGTGTTTTAAACTAAGTCTACATACAAAAGAGTCGTAATGTTGAATTAGTCATAATGTTTATAAAGTAAAAGTTACAGCAAGCTAGTTAATTTATTATTAAAGAAAGAAAAAGCTTTTAAATAAATCCAGTGTAGCCTAAGTGTGCAGTGTTATAAAGTCTACAGCTGGGCACAGTCACGTCCCAGGCCGTCACTGTCACCCTCACTCCCTCACTCCCCCAGAGACACTCCAGTCCTGCAGGCTCATTCCTGCTGAGTGTCCCACACAGGTGTGCTGTTTTTTATCTTTTATAACGTATTTTTACCGTGTTTAGATACACAGACGCCATTATGACACAGTTGCCTACAGTTCTCAGTACAGTGGCGTGCTGTGCAGGCCAGGAGCCCAGGAACAGCGGGCTGTACCCTACGGCCCGGGTGTGCAGTGGGCTGCGCCGTCCACGCTTGTGGCAGTGCCTCTGTGATGCTCACACGACGACGACATCGCCTCAGGATGCGTTCCTCAGAACGTGTCCCCATCAGTAGGCGGCCGTGACTGTAACGGGACGTAGGAACATGCACTTGGTTGAGAACTCTGAGGGGGACACTGTGCACGAGACCCATGGCCTTAGGACGGCCCCTGGGGGACACTCACTGATCTGAAACTGGGTTTCCCATCTTTAAACAATCAAACGCTGCCCCATTCGTGGAACGACCTTTTTCCCCTTTCCTTTGTGGGCAGCTCACGAACCCCACGTCTGAGCGACCAGGTAACTCAGCTACACATTACACGACACGTGTGGGTGACTTCTCAGGGCCGTGGCTGCTGATCCAAACCATCCGCTTAAGTTGCTGAGTTAAGTGGGATGTGCGCGTGGTGATTGATTTTCATGTTTCCTGACGAAAGAAACATGTTTCTAAAATACCTGTGTGTAAGAGTGCAAATGTTAGACCACAGACTATCGCTGCTTATTAATATGATTTTATTTTCACTGGCCTCTTTGCTTCCACTAATTGACTGTGATACCTCTTTCTGCATTTCTGTCTTCCAGTAAATGGGAATTTAGCAATTAAGGATTTCTTTTATCCTGTTCAGTTCATCGCTTGCCTGTGAATTCTGTGATCGGGGCTAATTAGACGTGTCACCTCTTTGTTTCCAAGCTGACCTCAGCAGATGGCTGGTTTATTAGCTTATTTTAAGCTTAAACAGCAACCAGAGCAGGAAGACCTCCTATCCTGCTCTGCTGTTTGCAAATATGTTTTAAACCGAGCCTTCTCATAAATCCAGTGCTATTTGCAATGACACCCATGCCCATGGCGCCTGCATCTGTCTGGGGTGGGTTCTGCCCTCTGCTCTGAGGGTGGAGGCCCACCTTTGCCTAGGAAGCACCTATGGCCGCCCGGAGGAGGGACTGGGAGACAGGTGGCCTCTCCAGCTGTTCTGAGGTTGAGCACAGGAGCGCTGCAATTTAGGGAGAGTGGTGAGGGCTGCGACCCCCTCAGCCACCAGCCCTGCAGCGTTCGGAGGCCGGGGTGGGTCAGGCGCCCTAGACCCTCCTGCCTTCCCGTCTGGAGCCGCTTGTCCAGGGCTCCCACTCCCCCAGCCTTAGCTGGAAGCCAGATTAATTAAAAATGCAGCTCTCCCTGCAAACAGTGGGGCAGCACCCTGTCTGCACCTCAGAGTGAGGAGAGAGGTGAGAGTGTTGGCTCCACACACCCTGCCCAGCCCTTCCCAGGCCAGGCGTCCCTCGGAGTGGAGAGGAAAGAGACTGTGAGGGCCTTCAGGCCACAGCTGCCCCTTCTCCCTGCTCACAGCCCGCCTGCTCTAGGACGAACTTGCTCGTGGTACCCTCCTATTGATGGGGTGCAGGGAACTCAAGGAGGCTGCCTGCTCTGCCCCTCACTCAGCAGGAGCTGGAGGTGGAGGTGGCCCTCTGGATCCTGCCAGACTATGCCAGCTTCATGGCTGCCTAAGACACCCTGCAGGGCAGCATGGGAGGCGTGGTCCTGCCAGATGGGGGCATGGGGTGGGAAGGGTGCACGGAGCAGGACTCCCCCGTGCCAGCAGGTCTGAGCGGCTGGACAGAGGTCAGCCCAGGCAGGGCCATCGCGCTGCAGCCCAGCAGTGGGGCTCCGGCTCTCCCTCCAGGCCTGTTCTTTGCTCAGGTCTCGGGCCTCGGAGCCCAAGACGCTGGCAGTGCTGTTGCATGGGGACCCCTTCTGGTGCTTGTGCATTCTGCTTGTTCCCATGGTAACTGCAGATCTGCACCCTGCCTGCGTGTGTGATTGTGTTCTGTTCTCCTTGTAGATGGAGGAGATAAAATTTAAGGACAGAGCAGTCTTCGTGCTGGAGAGAGAGTTAGGTATTCAAGCCGGGCATGCTCAGAGACTGCAGCTCCAAAAAGAGGCTCTAGATGAGCAGCTGTCGCAGGTCAAAGAGGCAGATCGGCACCTGGGCAGCCCCAGGCGGGAACTTCCTTATGCAAGTGGTGCAGGAGACGCCTCAGAGCCCTCAGCAAGCCCTGTAAGCACCTCCCTGCTCCGCCTGCGGGCCCGGAGCCCATGTCCACAGCACAGCCCTCCCGCCCTGGGGACGCCATGAAGTCTGCTCCTGCCAGCCAGACCCTGGAGCCCTCCGCTTTCCAGCTTGGCTGAGAGGGCAGAGAGTCTCTGCAACCCCCCTCCCTTGCTAATGTGGCGTGGCACTGCCTCCACTAGGTCCCCCTGCCATGGACCACCCCGCCCTACCCGAGGCTTTGGCTTCCAGCTGGAGCTCATCTGAGCCCCCAGGTTGCAAAGGATCCCTAGTTCTTGCTGGGATGGGCTTCTGCCCCGGGCTGGTGGGGGACGAGGCTGTGCTGCTTCCATGTCCACGCACGAGCTTCGCCTTTGGCTGGAAAGACTGGCTCCCTGCTCTCCTCATCCCGGCTTCGACCCTTGAGCAGCAATTTCCGCCACCCGCCTCACCACTCGCCCTCCCGCCCGCTTTTCATGTGACCATGACACTTTCCTGCTTCTCTTTGGCACGCCGAGACGGCAGGCACGGGGCAGCCGACATCACACGGCCGTGACACCATCCATCTCATTGCTGTTCTTCATTTAGAGCCTCCGGAATGGTTCTGGGAAATCGGGGGACAAGGGGGGGTGTCTATATTTCACGGATCCTCCGCGCAGTCCTCCTAGTCCGTTCCCTAGCCTCTCCTGCACCTGCTGGATGAGGAACCTTCCCTCAGTCCTGGACACGTGTTTGTTTGCTTCAGGACAAAGCCTTGTGTGAGCTGAGCCAGCCCTGGGACAATGACATTTCAAAACTAGGAGATGACACTTTATAAACTTCCATAATCTGAACTAGAGCCAGCTCCTGCCCAGGCACTGCACTCAACAGACTGCATACCTCCAGAGAGAGCCTCAGGCAGTTCAAAACGTTTCCACTGATTTTTCAGTGAAATTTCAGGGCTTCCAAAAGTGACCTTTCAGAAAAGCCATCTGAGGGAGCACATTTTCTGGGAAACCAACTTTGGAGTCTTAAGTTGGATGTCCTTTCCTGTGCTCATAATACCAGGAAATGACATCACGCCAGCAGAGCTGAGCAGACCCTGAGGGTGCAGGCAGCAGTGGCCTTGGAAAGCATGGGGCTGGTTCTGATGTTTCCTGGGGTCACCCACACTTGGGGTACCTGCATTTGCACGCCCTCGCCCTCCACATTTGCATTCTCCTGGACATGTCTGCTCGCGGTCTGTCCCCATCGTGCAGTTTGCCGAGCCACGGCGCTCCCACTCGAATCTCAGGTGATCCCCACGCGGTTCCCGAGGCGTGCTGGGATTTGCAAAAGGTTTCTATGTCTGTGTGTACGAACAGTTACTTGCAGTGGATTTTTGTTTTAGGAACAGCAGTTGGATGAAAAGGATGCTCGGCGCTTCCAGCTTAAAATTGCAGAGCTAAGTGCGATCATTCGGAAACTGGAGGACCGGAACGCCTTGCTGTCCGAAGAAAGGAACGAGCTGGTGAGGGCGGGGCTGTGGGCGGGGCTGTGGAGGGGCTGTGGGCGGGGTGTCTTCTGGATGCTGTGGGCTTATAGCTGCAGTGTGAGGGGAGCTGGGACGTCCTCTTCCAAAATTCCCCGTAGAAAGAAGGAGTGGTGGTGACAAGGGTGGGGCTTGCGTCTAGGACTCTTGACTGTTTCCAATAAAACTTTATTAACAAAACCAGGCTGGGCGCCAGACATGGGTCCCAGGTGCTGCTGATTGGCTGATCCCTGCTCTGAATTATTGGGGGGAAGTGTCCTCAGTTCTACATTATCTGGGATGTGTGAGGCCTTCACCCTGCAGTGGCGCCATCGTTGTCGGTCCTGTCAGCTGCTGAGATTTCCCAGTGACTTGTTTCCCCCTGCGAGAGCGGCCCCGGGGTCCTGGCCCCACGAGCTTGCGCAGCTCTTACCGGCCCGACGGCGACACTTCGCTGCTACCCAAGCTTGTTCTGCTCAGTTTGCTGACTCTGTATGGTGACCTGCTGGTTCTCTGTCACAACTAAAAAAACACATGCACTGTTAATTAATTTTGTCTTTCAGTTAAAGCGTTTAAGAGAAGCTGAGAGTCAGTACAAGCCATTGCTGGATAAAAACAAACGCCTCACTCGGAAAAACGAGGATCTGTCCCACACTTTACGCCGAATGGAAAACAAGTTAAAATTTGTCACCCAGGAGAACATAGAAATGGTAAGGGACCCGGCGGGTCCATCGGGCCAGCAGGCGGTGCCCAGCTGGCAAAAGCGGCAGCAAGTCCTCCGCTTCTCACGCACGAGGCCTCACAGGCCAGGCCTTCGGTCTCACCTACGTTTGTGGGGACAGCAACTGCCACAGGCCCACTCCCTGGGAGAGAGGGCCTTAGATAAGGGTCTGGGTGCTTGAAGGCAGGGTGTCACAGGTGCCTGCCTAGGGGAGTGACAGGGCAAAAGCAGGACAGAGCAGGGAGGACGCTGAGCATGTCACACGCCCCCCATACCGTCTTCCAACTCTGAACGCCTTAGACAGAGGTAGTGAGAGCCTTGGGCACTGGCCGTGGGAGGAACAGGGACCAGTAGGCCGGGCCGGGGGCCAGCAGAGGTTCCACTCCTGCCAGGCCCACTAGCTGGTGTCTTGTGCGTTCCTTCTGGCCTTGGGGGCCCCAGAGGCCAGTGAAAGTTGACCCAAAGAGTAGCTCAGCCAATGTGGCAGGTGGGCAGGAGTAACCCCCATACCCCACTCTGTAGAAACCCCCTTATTTTTACACTCTGAGTTTAGAAAAGGTGGTGGAGTGTGGACTGGCATGGACAACTCACTCTATCTCATCTTTGGGGTGCAGTTTTCCCCATGGGCACTGAGCCCAGACCTCACAGCCTCGGTTTCCCTGGGCTCTGCAGCCGGGCTGCTCCCAGGCCAGAGCAGGGAACACCCTCGCCCACAGCCAACGGGGGAGCAGTGGCAGGGCTGCATGGGGGCACCTACAGGCGGAGTGGGAGGACCCTAGCTTCCCCATCACCCGGTCGGACCACCCCACTCTGGACCTTATGACGTGGTCTGGCTGCTTTTTCAGAGACAGAGAGCCGGGATCATAAGGAGACCTAGTTCCTTGAACGACCTGGATCAAAGTCAAGATGAACGAGAAATTGATTTCTTGAAAATGCAAATTGTGGAGCAGCAGAGCCTCATAGACGAACTTTCCAAGGTGACCAGGCTCAGGGTGTCCCCCACCATCTGGGTCTCTAGCTCCTCTCCCCTCTCTGCTCCCTGCTGCCCCCTAGAGGTTACACCCTTGTCCCCTTACCTCCTGGGGTCTGCCTGACAGGGAGTCCCACAGGAGATGGGGTTGTTTGTCTTCCTGGGCCCCGCCTGGAGCGCCTCTTGGGCTGGGTCCCCGCACCGTGGTCATGCTGGAGGTGGCCCTCCCTGAAACTCTGCTTCCTCTCACCGCCTTGGAACCCGGTTTTTCAGGAGCGGAAGCATGGCCAGTTAGGTTCTGGGCCACTGTGACAGCAACTGGGGGCTTAAAACCACAGCAACTTGTTTCCTCGCAGTTCTGGAGGCCAGAATCCCGATCCAGGTGCTGTCAGGGCCGCGCTCCCTCGGAAAGCTCTAGGGGAGGACTCGTCCTCTGCCCCGGGAAGCTTCTGGGGGCCTTTGGCCTCCTCACTCCAGCCTCTGTCTTCACAGGGCCTTCTCTCTGTCCCTCCCCTCTCCTCGCCTCTCCCCTTATCTTCTCGCCAAGGGCACTCGCCTGCCCTAATCCAGGATGGTCTCATCTCAAGACCCCAAAATTAATCCCATCTGCAAACACACTGTTTCCAAAGAAGCTCACAGTCCCAGGTTCTGGGATCAGGATGTGGACACATCTTTTCTGGGGCCCCATCCGGCCGTCTATACTGCCCTGTCCCTCTGTACCCCGATGCTTACAGCACAGTTTTGCAAATTGTCCTTCATCAAACCCTCCTTCCGTTATCCTGACTCAGGGTGCTTTCTGCATCTTGGTGGGACCTCAACTGACTCTGTGGTCAGATCACTTCAGAACAAGCTGCCTTGGTCACCCTGTGTCCTCGGGCAGCAGGAGGGACGGCACACTCCTCCCCGTCCCTGGCATGGCACGTGGCCAGAAGTGCTGGCCTGCCTGGTTCCGATGACTGGAGTCGCCTCCAAAGTCACATGAGATGGGACAAAAAGAAGCCCCACAGGCTCTGGGATGGGGCCTCACCCATGCAGCCTGCCCGACCGTGCCTGAGACCTGAGTTCTTGTCTTGTTCAGTGACATGGTGACAGTCCCCACAGTAATAAGAACTTAGGAGGGAATAGGAAAAGAAAGACGTCAATGTTATCTCGTTTCCGGAAGGCCCATTAGCCCTGAACCGAGGGCCCCTGGGCGATCCCGCAAGTCATGGTGCCCCTGGGGGATCAGCTTTGGGAGGAAGGAAGGAAGGACCTTTAGGACCAAGTAAGACCCTCAGGGCAGTGCAGAGCCACCAGTTCTGGGTTTGGGGCGGCCTCAGGGCTCTGCGGGGCCTGGGGGAGGGTCACGCTTGAATTCTCCAGCGTCCTGTCCTCTCTTCCTAGACCCTGGAAACAGCTGGCTATGTGAAGAGTGTGTTAGTAAGTACCATACGGCACTCTCTGTCCTTACACCCCTTTCCCATGCCTTGTCCCTGGGACCCCCCCCCCCGTGCCAGTGGCTCCTTCCAGTCCAGACAGAAGTGGCCGTGCCAGCAGAGGGTGGATTTTGTGACCACCGTGCTACCTGCCCAGAGGTTTTGCCGAAGTGACTGAGAACACCCATCCGTGCCCTGCTGGCCTGTGGCAGCACCCAGCTCTTCTCACTAGCACATCAACTATCCACGTGGGGGTCAGATGGGCCCCTGTCTGGGGCGCTTCCTCCCCCACCCCGTCACCCCGGCTTTCTGAGCCCCTGCCAGCATGGACGTGTGGTCTGGGCCTGCTCTGTCACGGTCACAAAAGTGCAGCCCAGCTCCCTGGAGAGAAGCAATCATTGGTGTCCTTAGGTGTCTGTGGGGTGTGTGCCCACTCACTGGGACACCTGCTCAGAGAGTACGCAGGGGCTGGGCCATCATTGGTCCCTTCCATTTCTGTGTGTGCCGTTCAAATGTCCTGCCCCCCGCAGGGCACCCCAACCACCAACCACAGACATGAAGGGGCCGGAGGACAGCTGAGCATGGTGGGCCACCCCGGGCATCCACAAAGACGCGCTGTCCCCAGCAGCACGGCACACGCCCTGTGTGGGGCTGCAGGCCTGTGTGTCTGTGACGGGGCAACGCGCCAGTCAGTGTTGAAGTCACCCTGTACGTCCAGTGAAATGACAACACAGAAACATTAAAGTGTGTATGTGATAGAGCTGCTCAGTTACTCAAAGAATCTCTTCAACTGGCTCTTGCAGGAGCGTGACAAGCTTTTAAGATACCGGAAACAAAGGAAGAAAATGGCAAAGCTCCCCAAGGTAAGCAAGGGAATTAGTGTGTGCACATGACACTTGTGTCCCCGGAGCCACCTAAGAGGGAACCTCTGCCTCTGGGGAAGAAGAAAAAACGATTTTACTGCTTCTAAAAATTGTTACTGTGAAATAACCAAAACAGGACCCTAAGTAAATATTCTGTTCATAAATTTAAAAATCCAACCTTATTTCTTTCAAATTTCCAAGAGTTCTGAACTCACAACAGTAAAGAGGAGGGGTTGGCCCGGGACGCTGGCCTTCCTCCGGCCCTGGCGGGGGCCTGCCCGGGTTCTGCGGTCCTGGGCCCCCCCATTGTGCCCACATGGCCAGCCCCACCGTCACACTGTCTGGCCACCATGCAGGCTGTGTGCTGTGTCCACAGGCCCTCCGGGCAGACCTGGGGTAACTTCCCTGCAGCACAGTCCTTTTGGGTAGCCTGAGTTCTATCAGAGGACATTTGGGAGACAATCCCAGAGGACCTAGTTTGCATCCTGCTTTTGTAAAGCGTGTGCGTTTTTGTTTGGTTTCTGAACCATCAGCGCTGTCCCCATGCGGGTGTTCAGATACTCCGTGGGCACCGCTCCCGGCTCGTGGAGCCCTTAGAAAGGCCCATAAGAGGCCTGAGAGAGTGTCGGATGTCTCAGGTGTTTAGAGGTTATCTGAGGCCGGGAACCTGACAGAACCATTCGAGCAGAGTGGACTGGCTGGAGGAGGTCCGCCCTGTCCACCGGGGCCCCACTGTCCGGGCGCTTCCACGAGATGGGTGGAGGGAGAGGCCGGGCAGGTCAGGAGCCATCAGTGAGCAGGACAAGCTTGGGGCCGAGGGCCGGAGGTTGCTTGCTAAATCGGCCGCCGAGAACTCTGTGGCCAGTGGAGCTTCCCTGAGCTGGAACTGGAAGGAGCCCGGGGGAGGGGAGCCCGGGGTGCCTGTCAGGTGATCCATGGGCGTCCCCTCAGGCGGCTGTCTCACTAGCTGGGGAGGCACCTGCTTTACTGTTATTTGAATTTTTATTCCAGTTTGCCAGGGATGATACTCTGAAATCACAATAAAAATAACTCGACAAGGGCCACGTATTAAAGGCCGGGCTCGTGCTCCCTGCCGGTCCCATGTCATGTCATCTGCACGGCGGCAGTTCAGTGCCGCTTCCCTGGGACCTGCAGAGTGGGTCTCCCACCACGAAGGTGGACCGCTTTTCTGCAGAACTCCAGCCCCCCGCTTCCAGAAGGCCCCTTGGCCTGAGGTTGGGCAGCTGAACAGAGCCCCAGGACAGGGACACTGAGAGCTAGGGGTGCGGCCAGGCAGCACAGGAGAGATGGGAACGGCGCAGGGGCCCCCGGGGGCTGGCTGCTCGCCCACCTGGGTTCGGGCTGACACGGCCCTTCTGTCCGAAGCCGGTCATCGTGGAGACCTTCTTCGGGTATGATGAAGAAGCCTCCTTGGAGTCCGATGGCTCTTCCATCTCGTACCAAACGGACAGGACAGACCAGACCCCGTGCACCCCAGATGATGACCTGGAGGAGGTAACCCTCAGTGGCTGCTGGACAGTCTGGCGGGGGGGCAGGTGGGATTGGGTCTGGAATTGCTCCCTGGAGAGGGGCCTGGGGGCCCTCATTGGCTGTGACCCCAACAGTCCATGGGTTTTACACCCTGAGAAACACCCCCGCCTCTGAGGGCACATCCAGGGCTTCACCCGATCAGTATGGAGGTGCAGAGAGCCCCCACACTCCCAAAGGGCTGCATGGGGAAGTCAGAAACCCCAGCAGCATCGCCAAGGACACATGCTGAGACGTGCTTCGGTGGCATATTCTCTGATAGAAACATGGCCAGGGGGTCCCACCTGCTGGTCCCTTCTAGAAGGAGGCCGCCCTCAAATACTGGCCATTTGAGCCTGTGCTGACTGGCTCTGCCCCTGTGGCCGGGGGACAAGGAGGGGCTGGTTGTCCACAGCCCTGACCAGGCCCAGGGGGCACGGAGGCCATGGTGTGACCCCCCAGCCCCCCAACCCCCACAGATCTAGTGGATGCCCCAAGGCCATGGGCCTGCTTAGCGATCTCAGACACAGCCTCACAGCTGCCACCTGCAAGCCTCGGGGAGCAGATCGGGCTGGGGGAGCCGGGCCAGGTTAGGGTCCCCGGGCCCGATTGCTCCTGGCACGGCCGCCCTCCCACACAGACCTCTGGCTTGTCCTCTGAGCAGAGAGCTCTTCGGGGTCCAGTGGGGCCTCAGAAGCAGCAGGTGTCACTGCAGCTAGAAGGAGGCCTTGGAGGTCCCTGTACAGGGAGGGGCCTGGAGTGGGAAGCGGTGGGGAGGAGTGCGGCCGGCTCGCCTGGGAAAGTGAGCCTGCTCAGGTAGGAGGAGATGGGTCAGAGCGGCCTGGCCAGCAGGTGGACGCCCAGCTGGGCCCCCGGCCACTGGCCCACAAGGGCCACAACAGCCGGCTCGGCCGGCCGGCCGCCCCAGGCAGAGGCCAGGCACTAACCTGGTGTCATGCGCCTCTCCAGGGCATGGCCAAGGAGGAGACGGAGCTGAGGTTCCGGCAGCTGACCATGGAGTACCAGGCTCTGCAGCGCGCATATGCCTTGTTACAGGAGCAGGTCGGAGGGACGTTGGACGCAGAGCGAGAAGTTAAGGTCTAACTGACTTCCACTCCACGACGTTCCCGCTCCCGCCCGGCACCTCCCCGCTTGAGCCCCGGCCAGCAGGGCTCAGTCCCTCCACCTTCCCAAGGGGCTCTTTCCTCCCAAACTTAGTGCTGGCTGGTGACACTCCCCGAGGCCATTAAGAGCCAGTGTCTGGGAAGCTGGTGCAGCCAGCCCGGCTGGGTGGGACCTGCCCAGAGCGGTGCTGGCACAGGTGTGCTGATGGCCCCCCAGAGAGCGCGTTTATCCCACTCCAGGCCCGATGTGGAGGGCGTGGGGCCCGAGGCTCCTTGAGGGTGATGTCACCTTCCTTGCAAACCTGGCAGCAGAGCTTGTAGGGAGCTGTCCCCTAACAGGTGTGGCAGAGAGGGTGGGCGGTTGAGCTCAGGTTTTGAAATTTGTCGAGATTCCTCATTCGTCCACCTTGCACTGACTCAGATGCTGTGCCCACCTCATCCTGCGCCTCACTGGGCAGGCCCTGCCCAGAGCAGATGGGTGTCCCCCGTCCCCTGCTTCCCTGGGTGAAGGGGGGGTGCCCACATCTCATGTCCCATCTGGGGAGGTGGGAACTGCTGGCTGCCTGGGGAGGCCATGGTAAGGGGCTCCCACACCCCCTGACCTAACGCCTTTCTGACTCCCTGACTGCCCTCCAGCCCTGCCAGGGCTCTGACGGGTGCCACAGAGGGGGACAGGCCATGGCCCCGTGGAGGGAAGGGCTCTCCTGAGCCAGCAGCTCGGGGTGACTGGGTGGGCTCTGCCTCTCCGACCACACTGCAAGGCAAGAGGCCATTGTCCCGTGAGTCTGTGACTTAGTGTGGCTGGCGGCGGAGCACGGGCCTCTGGGGACCAAGGCCTCGGTCCTCTCACCCTCGACTGCCTGGGACTGAGCCGGGTTTCCTCCTCAAAGGCTCAGCGAGGACACCTGTCCTGAGAAAAGCGGTGGCAAGGCCTCCCCTGCTGCCCCTCCCGTGGAGCTGGGCTCACCCGCCAGCCCACGACCTCCCTCCCTCTGACCTATAAAGGACTTTTCTTGCCTAACAGGGACCTTTAAATGTTCCCTCTCCCACAGATGTCACTTAGCTCTTGCATTGTCCTCAGAGACGGGAGCCGTGACCGTCCCTCTTCAGACTCCTGGAGCCCAGGGGCCCGGGCAGCTGGGTGGTACTGGCCAAGTCCCTTCTTGGTGGCCAGAGAGGGGCAGCTGCTGTGACCATTTGGAAGCTGGAAGAAGAACATTTTCCCCTTTATCCTGTTGGGTACCAGAGAACCCACACAAAAACAAACAAGAAAAACAAGAGTATTTTAACGAGAGAAAAAAAATGTCCAAATCACGTTTTTTGAAAGCAGCCTTTGCATGCAGCCAGTCTCTGTATTAAAATTGGAAATGTTGCCCCTCACAGCATAAGTCAGGGAAGTCTTAAAGTGAGGGTGGGCACGGGGCGGCACGGCTCTTCCCGCGTGTGGTCCCAAGACGAGGCAGCCACCTCCCTGCCCTGGCCTCAGCCTCCTGTCTCAAACACAGGGTGCTGACTAACTGGAACCACCCCCACCCCCTGCCCTGGGATCCTCAGGTGAACGCTTCACTTTTAAAAAAATTTTCTTTTTAAGATTTTTATTGGGGAATTGGGGGATGGGAACAGACAAGTTGCTATCGTTTTGTTCTTCAGTCTAGTTGTGGAGGACGTTGTTTCACTGGCCCAAGTTGGGACCATCATTGCGCTCTTCCCGGGCGAGGCAGATCAGTCGCCGGCTTCTGGACGGCTGCTCACTGCGGCTGCTGGCCGCTCACGCTGGCTGCTGGCTAC